GGTTCATATGGAGAGATACGGCCTCTCAGATAGTCTGGACTTAAGCCGTGTAGCGCTTTATAGGTCATGACCAGCACTTTGAATTGTGCTCAGAAACAAATGGGTAGCCAATGAAGCTGTTTCAACAAGGGAGTTATATGCTTCCTATAACTGACTCCAGTCAGTATTCTGGCTGTGGCATCGTTTTGAACCTGCTGAAGTTTCCAAACAGTTCTCAAAGGCAGCCCCGTTACAGTAGTTCAAACGGGATGCAATCAAGGCGTGTGTCACCATAGCCAGATCTGACATCTCAAGGAATGGGTTCAGCTGGTGCACAAGTTTTAGCTGTGCAAATGCACTCTTGGCCACTGCTGAAACTTGGGCATCCTGGCTTAGAGTGGAGTCCAGGTGCACCTAAGTTGCGAGCCTGAGATTTCAGGGGAGTGTAATCCCATCCATCACAGGCAAGGTCCCCATTCCCTGATCTGCCTTATTCCCTGATATGACTGTCTAGGAGCACTTGTGTCTTCAAATTATTCCTTTATTAATTATTATGTTGCCCACCATATCTAACATGGCACATTTTTGTCACTGTTGGCTGAGAAGTAAGCACCAGTCCAAGAGTTTTCAGGCATGCAAAGCTCAGGGAAGGAAAACATAAAGAAGGAGTAAACAATTCTAGATTTCTCTGTTCCTTTGTGTTAGAAGTAGGCATCTGGATGATGTAGTCAAAGCACTCATTCTATTTATGTTGAAAGTTGTGATGTGATGAAGATCGGAGGGGAGTCTTCCAATTCATGAGGCATCAGGTCCATCCAGAAAATTTAGTGAAGCATCAAATAGCAAGTGCATTTCTGTACTGCTACCAATGTACTAAGCGGTTTACAAAGTGTAACCTAATTGCCCCCAACAAGCTGGGTAGTCATTTTAGTGACTTTGGAAGGATGCCAGGCTGAGTCAACCCTGGAGCTCCTGGTTGGAACTAAACTCACAACCTTGTAGTTAATGAGTGAGTGGCTGCAGTACAGGCATTTATCCACTGCACCACCATCATAATATATTGTATGAACTATAGTTAATGAACCCTGTTTATTAAACAAGGTAAAATGCTGGCCCAATAAGAAACCTGCCACTTATATGTACCATGAAGTATAAACTGTCCATACAGGAACTGGGCATTAATATGGAATAAGTGATTCACTTTAAAACTTTTTTTTTTTAAATACTACATTCTGTGCTGGCTCCATAGGTTAACAATCACTTGGTCAGGATAATGATGTTTCTCAGATTTTCTTACTCCCTGCATCTTGAAGTTCTACAATCGAAAATAATCACTTATAGTCTCATCCACTGCGCTTCAGCTCCCAGAAGCCTCAGCCATGTTGGCTAATAGTCCCATGTTGGCCAATAGCTCCTGGGATTCTGGGAGCTGAAGTCCCTCGGCCTTTAAAGGGGAAAGGTTGCCTACCCCTGCATTAATCTGTCAAGGCAATATGCGAGGACATGGGGGATGGCCTTTCATCTTGTGGCTCCCTGTTATTATTACACTTCCCCTAGAGGGTTGGTTAGTGCTAAGCAGTGCTAAGGAAAGATGTGGTTGTTTACTAAAGTTTTTGGGTCATGATTGATTTCATCCAAATTTACACATTTGAATACAGTGGGCCTTTGGTATCTGATGGGGTATGGTTCCAGACACCCTGTGTATACCAAAATTGAGACTTGGAGTAAAAGACTTGAGTACACCACTGCTACTTCCAATATAGTAGCACGACTTGTTAGGCAACCTTCCTGGTTGGCTGCTATAGTAACTAATGCTGGCCTTGGATGGCTTTTGGTCTGATCCAGCATGGCTCTCCTTTTGAGCTGTATACTGCAAATTCACTTACGCTGAACACTCTTTGTAATTTCAAACCTACTCTCCACTCTCCCCAACTCCCAATATTCTCCTTACAGTACCTCCTAGGTGTAGTTAGCTCTCTATATCCATGGCCTGAAAAATATATATTAAAAAATTATAAATCCCAAAAAGCAAACCTTGATTTTGCCATTTTATATAAGGGACATCATTTTATTATCTAATATATTTAATGGAACCTGAGCATCCATGGATCTTGGTATCCACGGAGGGCGGTGGGTGTCCTGGAATCAAACCCCAGCAGTTAACAAGGACCCACTGTACTTCTCTGTATTTGGGTTATCAGAAAGAAAACTGGAGAGGAATCCTGTACCATTAATGGCTGTGTAGAAGAGGGAGTTTCAACAGGTATTTTGCTTGTTACTTAGCTGCATGATAAGCAGCACCTGCTGAAGTTTGCTCTTCTACACAACCATGGATGACATTGGAGCTATCTCCACTTTCACTCTGGCAACCCTAATCTCTATTCACAGTATTTTTTCTTGTTGGAGGCAACAGGCAGGGAAGAGGGGGTTAGCTTTAGCTTTTTCTGCCTTTACTTCAAATTAATTCAAAATATTCTGTTCATTAAATTGATGATGGCAAAGAAGATATTTCCAAAAGACACAATGTTGATCTTTATTCTCCCTAATGCCTTGGAAAATCTGTCCTATCGAGTTTTGCTGTGAATGTGGTGCTCTGCATTTACCTCGGAAGTTGGGATAGGTATATAAAATGGCCACAATATAATTGTAAATATATTATCTTGCACTGTAGCTCAATAGTTGTTTTAATTATTTTTTTGTATTGCCTGATCTTAATATCCAGATCATTTTTAAAAGGCTGTTTCTTCAACATTACTGCATTTTGCAATTTTTCATTCACCACAAGAAGTGATATTTCCTTTCATTTTTGTAAAAAATACTTCTTAGGATGCTAGGGATTTTTAAACATGATTAGCATGTATAAAATGTTAATTGTTGTGAGGCCTTATTACCCCCAGGAGTTAATTTTATCATATGGTGACAGCTAACATCAGCTGTACATTATGGAGTTTCCTGTCCTGGGAAATGTGAGAGGTATTTTAGATTTGTGCTTACTATGCCGTTTTGAGTCAGCCCTCCCCTCCTCGCCCTACATGTTCTCAGGAAGCTGCTACTTAACAAAAATTGCATGGACTTCATGGCTTGATAGAAAAATCTGGTTTATGTTACAAAGTAGTCTTACATGAAACGATTGCAGAGTTATTTTGTATGCCTGGTGGTAAAAGTCACATCATATGTCTAACTACTGCTGCATGAAATGAAAGTCTGTTAGCCAGCAATTGGAAATAAGAGGGGTCATTTGTTTGCTTGTGCACAAAGTATCATGTACTAATGTAATTCAAGTTTAATATAATTCTATCACTAAAAAGAGGACTAGGCAAAAATACATTCACAGGAGACTGGTGAAAATATCTAGAAAAGTTTTGTTTGTGTGATAGGAGAGATTACATCTAATTTTAAATGCACTATATGGTTGTGATAATGGGAACAGAGGATGGAGGCAAGGGATTTTTCTGTCTGACAAGTGTTCAGAGCATAGAGATTAGGTCCACCAACTGCAAACTGATTCCCATTCATTAAGAGCCATTGGATGATGGACTTCAAGGGGTCCCCGAAATGACCACACAAAAACAATGCTGCTTTTCTTCTTGTTTCTTTGAGAATTGTGTTGAAATGTCCCGTCTCTCCCCCCCCCCCCCCCCCCCCCCCCCCCCAGTTGGGAGGACTTCAGCAGAATTCACTAGATTCTCAAAGGCATCTATGGCACAAAAAGGTTAAAAACTACAATATTAAAATGATTTCTTAATAATTAGAACATTAATTTATTTTGGTGGATGATGATAAAAATAAACAAAATGTCCACAGAACATTAAATAAGTCTAATTTTAAAGTCACAGTGAAATATATTGAATAAACTACAAATGTTGACAAAACTGCACAATAAAGGTTAAGAGTAATTTAAACAAAGAAAATCCACAACCTCTAATTTTATCCTGCCCTTTATCAGGGGATTTCAGCATGGCATGCAGATAAAACAATAAACAATTTAAAACTATTACAGATTTTTTTCTTTAAAAAATAAATAGTCTTAACAAGATAAAACATATTAAACAGGACAAGTTAAAACAACTTTTAAAAGTGCAACAATTAAAACAATGTGTATGTACATTTAAAGTAAATGAAGAGACACCATGCCATAGTGGTTTGAGTGTTGGACTATGACTCTGGAGACCAGGAATCAATTTCCAGCTCAGCCACAAAACCCACAGGATGACCCTGGGCAAGTCACATGCTCTCAGCCCCAGAGGATGGCAATGGCAAGTCCCCTCTGAAAAAAATTGACAAGAAAACCCCACTACAGGTTTGCCATAACTCGGAAACCACTTGAAGATGCACAGCAATATGATACTTATTTTGTGATTACCTTCATTGTTATTTCAGCCTAACACACAATGACAAATACTGAGTTCTACTAAGGGGTTGATTTACTTTTTGTCCTGAAAGAGAGCAGTATTAATTTCGACCCAAGATGGTAAAACCTGTCAAATTAATAGCAATCAATCTTGCTTGGACTTAAGCTTTTTAAAAAGTAGTTGTGATTGAGTTGCCAGCAATCAATGTGCTGCTTGATATAGTCAGACTAGTGCTCTGAGAACCATTATGTTTTTGTAAGGTACAGCAATTATGTTAAGTCAAAGGGAGGGCAAATACAATCAAATTAGCCATGGTAGTTGTTGCTCCAAGCTCTAATTCTGGGATCCAGTTACTCTCCAAATAACTCTGACCCCTGTTTCTATGGTTTGTGATGTCACAGCAAGCCTTTGATGGAACAATAAGCTTTATTTGTTGTTATCCTAGTGTAATTTGAAAGTATTTGTTACACCATTTATTATCACAATGAAAAGAAAAGCAAATGTAGTTTTAACCTTCCAACACAGGCTTCTCTTAGCCTGGTTGGTCCTCTTTTGCCTGTATTAATGCATCATTAATCACCTTGTAAAGAGAGTTATTTACTCTAGTGAACTAATGAGATTACATTTCTTTTCTTTTCTTTTTTGTAGTAGCCATATTGAGAATTGAGAGCCAGGGTGGTGTAGTGGTTTGTGCAATGGACTACAACTCTGGAGACCAAGCCAAGGTTCAAATCCTGGCTCAGCCATGTAAACTCATTGGGTGACTTAGGACCTCACACTCTTTCAGCCTCGGAGGATGGCAATGGCAAACCCCCTCTGAAGAAACTTGACAAGAAATGTTTGGCTCAGGGTCACCAAAAGTTGGAAACGATGAAGGCACACAACAACTACATCAAAGATTGAGACTTACTGGACCATGTGTAAAATCTCTGACTTTATAGAAATAATTGCATTATTTAACTCTCACACACTACTATCAATGCATGCTTTCTTACCTACAGCACATGCACATAAGCAAACACCTCTCTCTGAACACACCAACCCGAGAGCTGAGATCTATTGGAGAGGCCATCCTTCATGTCCCATCAGTGGGGAAAATACCATATATACTCGACTATAAGTCTACCTCATGCATAAGTCAAGGGCAGGTTTTGGAGCTAAAATTATGGATTTTGGTATGACCCATGGATAAGTCAGAGTAAATCCTAGGGCCATGTAATAAAAGATCTAAAGGATGAAGAAGCAAATGCCTAACTTACAAAATTCCAGCAAGCATAATTCTGTGTGCTCTCCCTAAAGGCTGGGTAGATGAGAGAGTAGAGCAAGGTCAGTGATTCCAGGGCAGATGACACTCTTGCCTTTCACCAGGGGATGCTTCCTTTTTAAAATATGAATTAAAGTATAGTACTTATATTGACCTGTGGATAAGTTGACTCAAGTTTTTTTGGGTCAATTTTTTGACTAAAATTTCTAGACTTATACATGAATATATACAGTATATTGTGGGAGGACATAGAAGAGGGCCTTTTCTGTGGTGGCACCCTGGTTGTGGAATTCTCTCCCTCTAGAGCAGGAGTTGGCAACCTATGGCCCGTGGGCCGGTTCCGGCCCAGGGCCCGACGCTTACCGGCCCAGGCGGACCTCTGCCGCCTGCCACTGCCGCTGCGCATTTTGTAACCTCCATTTTGCTTTCCAAAATGGCAGCCGTGACACGTTTGCGCATGCGC